TTTGAACTTCTAGACCTTAAACATGAAATGGAGCTACTAATAATTTTTCTCACTCGCTGCGAACAGAGCAAAGAGCTATATAAATGACAGAGGTCTAAACGTATGTTCGAGAAAACTAACACGCAACCCATGAGATCTATGATTAGAAAAAAAGCTTACATGCTATTAAATTGATAGGCTAAAATAGAGATATCAACATCGTCCCCGCTATTGCCAAAATAAGCTCGAAACACCAAGTGAGGAAACACACATAGAGATGAGGAAACACACATAGAGATGAGAATAAAATCATATACAATGCAAATCCAAAAGAGATAATAAATAAATTATTGGTTATTTGATGATAGTGAAATGTTTTGAGAAATAGACTGAAAAATGTGTTTTGCTACGTTTCTATCAAGGCTTATGTACTACTGCTGAACATCATAAGAAACCTATGTATTTTTCCACTTTAAGTATCCGATCTATTATCTTTGAAACCCTGTTTGGATCCTTTTGCACCCACCCCCTCTCCCCTACCCGCCACTTCATATCTTTTTTTCTTTCTTCATCCAATTTTTTTGTAGTTAGTCACTATTTGGATTATTACCTTAAGAAGGAAAGGTGAAGAGAGTGATAATTCGTATTAATTGTGCTTTCTATCTTTTCAACAATCATACAACGTAACATAATTATCTTAGTTTTCCTTTTTTCAATCTCTGTCTCTTACAAATCACTCTCAAAAAAATATTGTGACATCCAAATGGTAAGGAGGATGAGGAGGAAGAAGAAGAAGAAGATATAAAAGTTTCACCCAAATCCATATACTTAAACTCATACCTTGCCAAAACCGAATATCAATTTGAAGACGAACACTGTGAAATCCAAATGGAATGGAAAATGACAAAGAGTAAAGAATTTCACCGGAGTACCCCTAGCGACTCATACTCTCTCAAAACCTGATATAAAAAGTGAAAAAAAAAAATTTAATACAGAGACACATGAGATAAAACACCAATTGAAGTGCAAAAACTTTGTACTAAATTTGAATAGCATAATGATGAATGTATCCAATTCTAACATTCATAAAAGACATATTCCTACACAATTACGCAACTTAAACTATAAATACAAAAAATAAACAACCAAAAAGAAAATCCAATAAACGCAAAGTCATACCAAAGATGGAATCTAGAATATTATTTAACATCAAAACATAAACTCATAATTAGGATAACTAAAGAGCAAGAAACTCTGTGTAGAGATCTTAAGAAATATCCATTCTCAAATTTGTAATGATTGACTGGTGTAAACTAACAAAGAAATGCAGGAAGCAGCAAAATATATACATACCAACCAATAAGGAAAACAAAAGGTTGTATCAATTAAACCTTACGAGACTCTCATGGGCTCATGGCCCTTTGATCATGTTGAAAAGTGATGAAAAAGTGAAACTTCTAAATCCATATCAATGAATGCAGCAATGTCAATCCAAAAAATAAATCTTTTGAAACGCAGGTATTAGTACCAAAACCTCAAAAGTCAAGCAGTAGACTTGAACAACAAAGGAACACACATTAGAAGCGAATCAAAATAATGAGCAATCTAAACAGATGAATATGGAAGTAATTAAGTTATGAAATAATTAGTTTAAATGGAGGAAGGATCACAGGTAGAGGTTACTTATTTAAATTGGACGCGTATTTAGAAGAGATATATCAAATTAGTTTTTTTCTTTTAAATAATAAATCAATATATCTAGAAAATAGAACAAAGGCAAAATATTTAAGAAGAAAGATAAATAGATTTTTGAAAGACTTTAAATGATGATAAATAAGCGGAGAATGTATTTCCATTTGAATAGCACATAATGTATCTTCATTTGGGTCCAAAATTTGTATAAACAAATGACATATCAACCGTAAGAAAGAGATTATCAAATTTACTGCACTTAAAGTAAAGTTTCAGGGTTCTCAATCATTATTATCAAAATCAAGCTGCTCAAAAAGGTAAAACACTCCAGAAGGCTTATTTCTAATGGGTATCCTAAAAAAAAACATGATCCTTATACAATCCAACCAAAAAGTATAAACCAATAAATTCAAGAAAAGTAAAAAAAATACAGAAATATCATTTTTTATGGAATTACCCAAAGGACAAACCTCAATGGAAGAAGTAGGGGTAGAGCCACCATCACTACCACCGGTCTACCTTGTGCTTCCGATGTTAAACTTTGTCACAAATCAACACTATTTGTCTGTCACAAAATCAACGTCATTTGCCATTTATCACAAAAATCAAATAAAATAAGATCGGCAAAAGAATCAGCAAAATTAATATGCATTTGTCTACTTTCCATCTAAAAATTCATATTGATCGAATATAAGTAAGTGCTAACAGATTATGTAAAGAAACATATTAGATGTTCTCTGAGTTGATGTAAACATCAGGTGGGAACAATAAAATATGTATCATTAAAACTATTACTCGCAAGTTTATGTTAGTGTCTAAGTGAAGCAAATTCGGGCAGTAGACACAGTAATTAAGTAGAAATAGATCTTGGTGCAAAAATTAACTTAGAAGAGAAAGGGGAGAGGGAAAACATTACCAAGTAATGATAATAGTGGTTGATCTTTTACTGGAAAAAAAATACTTCTCTTCTCCTTTGTGATTGAAGCACCAAAAAAGTGAGGCCAAGTGACGAAAAGCTTGAAATTGTTGTGACAACATCTACTGAAATCACAATCAAAAATTGTTTTTCCAATTAAAAAAAATCAAGAGAGAAAAAAATGAAGAACAATCTGGAAAATACACTTTCAGTTTTTGATATTTTTTTAAAAAGCAAAAATATTTACCAGCCTTTTTTGTCGCTTAAGTTACCAACTTGAATGGCAACTATTGGATTTCAATTCAGATCACCACATGTGATGCAATTTTGACATTGGCTAGGGTTGTCCAAATTGCAAAGAAAGGAAAGAGTAATAACTTTTTTCCCATGGAAAAGAGAGTAGCAGCAGAATAAAGGGTTTGTTAGAAACGATTGGAAACCATTATAAGAGGAAACGTTTGGGTTTCCCAAATAATTTAACCATTCACTTTTTTAGATATAAAAGAGAAAAAATAGGAGGAAGCACAAAAAAAATTGAGAGAAGAAAAACGCTATACGTAACCGGACTTAAGTCTCTCAAATATATATATATAGATTGGCTCCATTCAGTTACATTGGTATTTTCTCCTTATGGTTCCAAATTTTCAAGTCTCATGGTTTGCTATCAATCTTAAGCCAGAATCAAGTGAAATACAACAATAAGTCTTTTTTCTTGTGGCTCAACTGCAGTATTTGAGAAGCAACAAATCCAACTGAACAATAAAAATAACTAGATAATGTGATAAAAGCTACCGTGCTTGCCCCACAGTTTCCTATTAACATGCGAAGCTCAAATGCAAAGAGCTTTGTTTTCCTAAAGATAATCCTGAATCAGTAGTTAATAATGCGCATAAGTTTTAAGAACAGATTCATGAAACCTGGTTCAGATTCATCTTCTTGAAAATGGTTTAGTATACCAAATGCTTTGTTTCATAAGTGGATGCGCATTGTTTCATAATCAACTTTTTTGAACACTAAGATTTTCTATTTATTTTTCAGCTTGGACCAGATTCAAGTTCAAATTAATGTCCTGGACCAGTCTGCTCTCACAAAATTAGTATTTCAGCAATTTCTTAGCTTCTTGTTATGACTGGGAAATTGATTAACCAAAGAGAAGTATACCAAACTGGATTTATTATGCCTCTAAACAAAGATGCTTTCTCTTTCTAACTTCAAATTGAGCTTCTGCATTTTCATGTAAGGCTATATTAACTGAGGAATTAGTGGATATGGTGCAAGCATTTGAAAACTCCTTAGGACAAAATTAAACTATTTAATTAAGATTATTGAAATTTCAGTATTCTGTGCTTGAAAATATTGAAAAACAAGGAAGTGCAAAGAGGATAGCCGGGTAAACTGGAAAGAATGCACATATTTGATCTTAGGTTACTAAAGCATACAGGCCATAGGGCTGGCTGTCCATAAATTCTTAAAATGTTAAGTTTGGTATATGAATTTAGATTCTCAATTCAAAAAAAGTGCTGTTCAAAGTCAACTCATCATTCGATTTATAAAATTTGATCAATTCAAGGTGCGCTGTGCCAAATGATTTTTCTTGACAAGTTTAAGCCAGCATGCTATTCTTGTGGATTAGTACCAGTCCATTATCATAATTGCTACACCGCTTTAGATATAAGCTTCTAATATTCTTCAGACATTTCTTCTCTTGGTTGTTTCCCACAAAGTTAGTGCTGAGGTCCACACTTGCTCAGCAGTGGCACAACATAAGTAGACACTGGTTAGTTTTGCTCTTATTTGACCTTCTTATTGACAAATGAATCTGGAGAAATATTCTAACATTATCCAATTCTCTATTATTTCAAGTAATAAACCATGCAAATTTTTCCATTTTATAAGTATTCAACTGCAGCACTAGTTGGAACCATAAGACTAGTTTTTGGTCATAAGAAGCAACTTGTACCCTGAGCCGTCGCTTTACCACTATGGATGATCAGATTTTGTCTAAAGTTTTCAGGATATGCCTTTATAGATTCGTATTTTATGATCAATCATTGGAATTCTGGCTACAACTTGTTGATTTAAGATCCAGTAATGGCTAGAGGTGGTCCCTAAGTGTACCATTTTCAAGAAGATGAGGTTACATGAATCTGTTCTTTGTTGTGAAAATCAGTGGGACCTTCTGCTTTAGACTAATTCCGAAGTCTAAATAGTATGATAATGAGTTGGAAGGCAAAGCCATGTGATACTTCAGGTGCTATTGTCTTAAGTTGGTGCCCACATAAGGCCTATTCAATGCAAATTACTAGGATTCTACAACTTGTCATTGCCCTATCTATATAAACCCATGAAAAGAAAGCCTCTATCACCACAACACTCAGTAAAACTTGAAACCATTGAAAGCTTTGCTCATCGAGCTACTATATTGAACTAAACGACCATGGCTATCTGTATGCCTCGTATAATCAAGAAGTCTTCTACAACTGGAGATGTTCCGAAGGGCCACTTTGCGGTTTATGTTGGGGAGAAGCAGAAGAAGAGATTTGTAATCCCCATATCGTTCTTGAGTCAACCTTTATTTCAAGACTTGCTTAGTCAAGCTGAGGAAGAATTTGGTTTTGATCATCCTATGGGTGGTGTCACAATTCCCTGCGGCGAGGATGTCTTCATTGATCTTACTTCTCGCTTGAGTAGGATCTGAGGCTTTTGTTTTCACAGTTTTGTAAAGAACTAACCTGGAAAGACACATTATTAGAAGTTAGAACCATACCACTGAAAATCAGATAGAGAGGGCTGCTGTCAGCTGCAACAGTACTACACATCCCACTTTTGAATGTAATTTTTAGTAGCTGATGTCAATGAGACAAACAACACATTCTTTAGCAAATGATAAGTATCAGTTTAGAGACATTCTTTAGCCAATTGATTTATCAGTATTCTTATTGAACAAATTTCTTTACATGACTTCATTTTCTTTATAACAATGTAAATGGAGCTTCTAAAGAAGACACCTTCTCTGTAACTTTATCCTGATCACCGAAATAATTTTTGGCAATTATGGCGAATAAACCTTTATATCTGCAACAGAAGTTTCAATATATCAACGAAGTAACATTTAATAGATCACACTCCATTAGACAATTTCGTTCTCTGCTCTTCTTAAAACAAATCTCTGGCTCGGTTTATTAAAATTTCTCTTGATCACTTACTAAATGTAGGGATGATTATGATCTGAAATTTGATCAAATCATCATATTAAACCATTGTCTTGGAGACTGCTTTAATCCGTATAAGAATTTCTTCAACAAGCAAACATGATCTTCTTTTCCTTCAATTTCAAATCCTTCGGGTTGATGCATGTATATTTGTTCCTCAAGTTCGCTATGTAAGAAAGTTGTCTTAACATCAAGTTTTTCTAATTCCAAATCATACATGGCAACGAAGGCAAGCAAGACACGAATAGAGTCATGTTTAACAACAGGTGAGAAAATATCATTAAATTCAACTCCTTGTACATGACTATAGCCCTTTGCAACTAATCGTGCCTTATACCTCGCATATTCAACCCCTGAAATGCCATCCTTTTTCTTGAAGACCCATTTGCAACCAACAATTCTTTTTCCTGATGGCGGCTTCTCAAGAGACCAAGTACCATTCTTGTGGGGAGACTCAATTTCTTCATTCATTGCAATCAGTCACTTGGCCGAGTCAGCACCAGAAACTGCTTCTGAATATTTTGATAGTTCTCCAATTTTTTCAGTTTCCTGTGCAACTGAAAAATCAAATGCAACATAATCTCCAAATCTTAATGGTTGTTTACCTTCTATTCTTGGTCTATGTTTGGCTATAGAATACTCCTCTTCTTCTGGTTCAACTTCAGGAGTCTCAACCTCAGGAATTTCAACTTCTGTCTCAAATTCAGGAGTTTCAACTGTATTTTGCTCCAAAGTTGATGAGCTTGGCTTAGAAGGAATGCCAATCTCAATCTCCACCTGGTTCTGTGTACTCTTTCCTTTATCTGTATTACAAGAACTAGAAGACTCTTTTCTAGAATGTAACATAGAGGATTCATCAAAGGTTACATCTCTGCTAATTATAAATTTTGGTGCCGTGGGATCAGGATACCATAGTCGGTATCCTTTCACCCCAGATGCATACCCAAGGAAAATGCACTTTTTAGCCCTTGGCTCTAATTTTCCATCATTTACATGCATGTATGCAGGGCAACCAAATATCTTTAAATCATAATAATTAGCAGGAGTACCTGACCACATTTTCTCTGGAGTCTTAAAGTTCAAAGATGCAGAAGGAGCTCGGTTGACAATATAACAAGCTGTAGAGATAGCTTCTGCCCAAAAGGCGTTTGTCAACCCAGCATTTGAAATCATGCAACGAGTCCTTTCCAAAAGAGTTCTATTCATCCTTTCTGCCACACCATTTTGCTGAGTTGTCATTCTCACAGTACGATGTCAAGCAATTCCTTCGTTCTTGCAAAATTTGTTGAATTCATCATTACAAAATTCCAAGCCATTATCTGTTCTAAGCAGCTTAACCTGTTTTCCTGTTTGCTTCTCAATCAAAACTTTCCATTGTTTGAAATTTAAGAAAACATCACTTTTATTTTTCAGGAAATAAACCCAAACTTTCCTTGAATAATCATCAATGAAAGTTAACATGTACTTGGCACCACTTTTTGATGGGTACGTGAAGGACCCCAAAGATCTGAATGAATGTAATCCAAAATACCTTTTGTTCTATGAATCGCTAGAGATTTGAAGCTGACTCTTTTCTGCTTCCCGAACACACAATGTTCACAGAACTCCATATTTCCAGTACTTTGGCCACATAAGATACCTCTTTTGCTGAGGATGGAAAGACCTTTTTCACTCATAAGCCCCAATCGCATATGCCACAATTTGGTGATGTCAGAATCTGATTTTTCAGATATTGAAACTGCAGCAGCAGCTGTAACAGTAGATCCCAAAAGAGTATATAACATACCAGATCTGCGTGCTTTCATAATCACAAGAGCACCGTGAGAAATTTTCAGAACTCCACCTTCACCTGTGTACTTGCACCCAAGAGATTCTAGAGTACTCAAAGAGATGAGATTTTTCTTCAAGTCAGGAATGTGTCTAACATCGGTGAGAGTTCTCACCACACCATCGTGCAATTTAATTTGGACTATACCTTTTTCAATAACTTTGCAGGCATCATTGTTGCCCATCAAGACAACTCCATCTCTAATAGATTCATATGTTGTAAATAAATCTCGACTGGGACACATATGATAAGAACAACCCGAATCTAAAATCCACTCATTGTTTAGATTTGAAACTATTATTAGTTACTAAAAAAATAGTTCCCTCAGTCTCATCATCACCTACACTTGCTTCGGTAGTGTCAGTATTTTTGTGCTCATTTTTCTTTTCTATATGCTTTTCTTTGTTTTTCAA